AGGTGATCTCTGGATTCTATCAGGGATGCCTGTTGGATGTGTAGGAGAACACAAACAGCAAAAATACCCCACCCAGAAAAGTCTGCATATATGCAAATCCAGATAAACAGGATGGATTGGCAAGTCATTGTGAAGGCAGCCTCTGTGTATTCTATTACTAATTCTTCAAGTTACCTTCCTTTTTAAAAGCTAGATAAAATCCAAAAGATTTACCACAAAAGATTATGGCAGCTCTGGACTTGAACAATGCTACAGCATCCCTTTTAAAGTTAAATCATACTTTACTATTGTTATAACAGTGTCCATAAAAATACAAACAGCATGAGGGTAGTTCAGCTGCTGAATGCCCGCTGATAGTGCTTTTTATTGCATGGACAAGATCACAATTCATACACTAACCCCATTTTCCCAATTCCCCAAGTTTCATTCTGTCAGGATTTGGAAATGTTGTGGAATTTATACTTCCAGCTGTAACGGGAGGAGGGAAACTGCAAGGGCTGCCAGTACCAAATGCTTAAAGGATCTGAGCACTGTGGTGGAGGAGGACCTATCAATGGGAAACACCTGGTGGAGGCATTTTGTTCTGTTCTGCAGGGCCAAATTCTGATTACAAAATTACTGGCCTTGGTTTTTGGAGAAGTCAGAATTTGCATCAGCAGCTTGGCATAGACTGCTGTCAAAGCAAATGACACATAAGGAGGAGGATGAAGAAAATTAAGTCAAATGTCAAGGTTGGGAAAATGTAGATAACCTTCGAAATTAATACTACTTTGGCTTTTAATGTATAGAAAGATATATTTGGGATATAACATAGCAATCAACATATCCCTATGGTACAGGTTCAATAGATTATGATCTAGAGAAAAATTGTTATAACTTCTATATAGCATAACTAGGAAGCAAAATAACACTCTCATGGAAGGTCTAGAAATATTTTCTTATTTTCATATTTTCCTGATGTGGGGGTTGAAGTTCCCAACATAAAAATCCAGCGAAGTTTATTTTTTAAATTTTGTTTTCAGCCTGTGAGGAACATAAGTGAAAATAGGAGCAATGCATAGCAGTCAGCTCTAGGAAGGAACCTGAGGATTTTATGGTGGAAGGGTTGGAAGATGGGGAGGAGAGAGGAAGTTGAAGGTTTTGGGGTGGAGAGGACACCAAAAGCCAAGAAGAAAATTAGGTTATTGCCATAGAAAAGGGTGCAAAAGAGACAAGATACAAATCTGTAGATCACAGATCAGATAATTTCTTATGCATATAGACCAACTTGTTTGTGTATTTGCTCAAATACTAGCCAGGAGCAAAATTGCTATGAAGGTGTTATAGATAATATTAGTAAAATAGAATAAATAATAAAAAAAAATTATGAAATGAGAGAAACAGCAAAATGTGATTTTTAGAAGAGACAAAAAGTGCAATTTATACAAACTTCAAAACAGCATTGGAGAGAAACACAAGTTTTCTTTTGTCTAATATTTTCCTTTTCTGTTCTGTAAAAATGATGGTAGATCAATAATATACTTTAGGAGGGAACAAAGAAAACATAAAAAAAATAATTTGCAAATATGCTGAGAATGTGTTCATTCTCTATTATTAAACAGTTCAAGGGCAGATTCAGCTGAGCTTTAAATGCAATAAAGAAATTATTTCAAAGCAACACTACGAGCAACATACAGTAATTGAGAGTAGAAAAACAAGGGTGATAAAACTGTCCTGTGTTATTGATGTTAGAGTTCATATATGATGCATTTCCGTGACGGGATTATCAGAGCACTGATGACAATGTGTACTTACTTATCAAACTAAACAAGGTGTCTCAAAAAGGAGAAATATTAAATTATGTGCTATCAGCCAGCTATGCTATTCAGCAAAACTGTGTGTACATAATATCTGTTCCATACATCTGTATTCCTGCACGTGACCCTCACCAAACTACTCTGTCTCTACAGCGTTTGCATAAAAAAAATCCTTTGATCTTCTAAGAAAAGTTTCAAAATGGACCCATCTTAACAATAAATTAAATTGCATTAAAAAAAGGGAGAATAATCTTGTGTGGGTTATCAGCCTTCCTCATACAATACTTGCTCTCTCTTCTTGTCACAGATTTGTTTTATTTTGCTACAGCAATACATTATTACAACTTAAAATTCACATTCACCTGAAGAAAGCTGTGACATGCCTACCAAAAGAGACATACACTGCTTAACCTAAATTGACCCTTTTTTCCTTCTATTCTAATAGATCTTTTTTCTTTTTGTCACTCAAAATGAGTGTCTGATGTATGAGCATAAATTGTTAAAAGCAGTTTTAGGTAAAGGAAGAGAGACTGAAGTGGAGTTTTCTCACAAAAGCCAACCTCAATTTATGTCAAAGAGGGTTAAAAGACCTTGGGATTAAAGCAATAAACTTGCTGCTGTCAAAGCTAAAACCCGCTAACAATTTAGTGCCAAACGCATGTTGTTCAATATCATTTCATATTATATTATGTCACAAGTAGGTGACAGTTCCACATCAGGCTGACAGGGCTGATTTACTCTGAAGAATTCATCGACATTTTGCAGAGTCAAAGCTGACTTCATTTTGTTTGGATGCAGGGTGGGAAATCTGTCCCTGGGTTGGAATATTTGGCTGAATAGCACGGTGCACCCCTGGACCCTCATGGCACAGAGCCCTCGGGCACGACCCACCCAGCCTGGGGCTCCTCACCTTCCCCTGCCCTCAACCACCTCCTGCCCTGCCCTTTGTGCAACCCCACCTTTTGATGTGGTTCCCCTTCCTGCAATTTTTAAAATATCCAATTGTCCTGGTCAATATTTGGATATTTTTTTTCTTTCTGAATTCAAGCATTTATACTTCTCCAAAATATATTTATTGTCAAGGGTTGAGATAAAAGATCGTGTTAAGAAAATACTGCTGGCACCTGCTCATATTTTAAGTAGGCAGTAATAACAGCTATTTTTCCAGGATGTTAACTAGATCCCAAGGTCGTGTGTGATGAGACCCTTCCAAGGCCAATGGCAACAATACCATTTCTGTATATACAAATGTCTTTTGCAAGATATTCCCAGATATTTTTTTAATATGGGTTCCAATTCAAATTTCTCCCAGGGCTCTCAGACAATTCTGAATAAACATATTCTTTGTTTTGTCTCAGGAAAATCTAATTAATTTGACTTCTCTGTCAAGTTTTCAAAGCTTATTTATAAAGGGTGTCCCTTCTCCAAAACCCAGTGTATTCTTCTACAGTCATTTGCATCCTTTTGCCATGTTCATTTCCTGCTCTTGTTGGATACTGCTGGAACTACAACTACAACTCAGCTCCTGAAGCTGAGGAACCAGGGAATCTGGCTTCCTCTGAACCAAGTAGAACTGTGCTACACTCAAGGTAGTATTTTTATATGTGGAAATAGGAATATCCCTCCCTTCTCCCTGCTTCTTTTTTAATTGTGGAGCAAACTTTCAGTTAGCACAGTTTGCTCTTACCTTTATGTCTGACAAAAAGCTAGAAACATTTGGGGTCTTTAAACACACCTATCACTGTTTTCTCCATCTAAATACAGGTGTGGGTACATTAGTGCCTGCCCATTAACTTCTGTAAACCACGTAGTGATTCTTCTGTGGGATTCTTTGGGCAATGTTTGCTGTTCATCCAGGAAAACATTATTATTGCATGTAAAATGGTCCCATCACCCAACACTGGTTTGTTTTTGCTGACCATCTGCTGAACAACTCCCAGGCAGCAAAGGGGTTACCTTGTCTATTATGTCAGGCAACAGAACTTCTAGTGAATAGTTAGATGGGTTAGCAGATGGTTAATCTTATTTGACATTTAAAGCACTTGGAGGTAAATTTAGTGTTCACCTGCCCTGGAGTGTACAGCATGAATATGCTTCTATATATCTATTCCTGTTTAAACTGGTAACTCTAATGGCTGGAGGATATGCAATGCCTGGCATGAAGAGATATTTCATGGAAAAGAGGAAAAAAAACAGGTAAGCATACATCCTAGCTTTAAACCTTTACAATTTTCTCATATTGAAACACAAATTCTATTATTTTTGGAATACCATCACCCTCTTGCTAACTTACACATTCTGCTAGTAGATCAAATTTTAACATGTTTTGCTTATTAATATTTCTGAGCTCTGTTTTCCACTACCCCATCAGTTATGGACATGACAAATACACACATGTATACATTTCACTGAGCACAAAACCAAAGGTCTCCTGTGATCCAGTGAGAAACCTAAAGGAGAATAAGGATCTTTCTTTGTCCTCACAGAGTACCCATAAACCCACTGTGGTGCACACCAAAGTCAAACCATCATGGATTCAAGAATTCAACCCAAGAAAAGGGATGAGCATGGAGCTGTGACACAGCTCTCGGGGCACAGGGGTGGGGAGGACACAAGGGGCATGAGGTGAAGCTCCAGTCCCTTTTGCTGAGCTCCAACAAAGCACAATCTCCCCCTCAGTCCTCTGTGACAGAGATCAAAATAAATTGTCATGTCTCTTTTAAGAGGAAAATACCACAGCCTCTCTCAATACAGGCTGTGACCTTTCAATTTATGCTATCAGTTTACCCAGTGCTTGCTCTGTGGTTCATGATTAACTTGAAAGAGTTAGATCACACTCTCTCCAGGTCCTCAAGAAGGAACTTCTGTTGACTGCCAGAAATCCCTCATGCAATAAAGTGCACATAGTATGGCAGTATAAGCTATCCTTCAAAGTTACAGCAGCTCAGTAATGAGGTATCAATTCTTATCAAAAAGCTCCTAAAAATATCTACTCACTTTTTTTTTTTCTTTAAGGTACTGTTTATGAGAAGACAAAGTGAAAAACAGCCACCTGGTTATTAATAAATACATCTGCTTTCATATATTCCCTACAAAGGATCACACATCCCTCATACATTAATTAAACATTTTATGTATATCAAAAAAAGATGGTTTCAATTCTAACCCAAAAGGGTAAACTGAGACAAAGAGATAGTTACTCACACCTTCGTGCTAAGCCACAGAAACCTTCTCCCTCCTCCTGTAACTATGGTTGTACTGATGCCTCAAAGTGATCTAGAAAGCAGAATAAAAAAATTTCATCAATATTTTCTTTTCAAAGCTCACCCATAGGCTTTCTCCCTTTCTTTTAGACAAGAAATATGCATTGGTAATTCTCTTAATCTTCACTAGTAGGGACCCTGGAAGGTGGGGTGGCTTGGACAAATGCTGGACTGAGGACTTGCATCTCCTGCTGCCACTGGAAAAGCGGTGTCTGCTCAGATCAGCAACATGGGGATTCTTTTTGTTCTTTATTATTATCCACCCCTCTGTACTTAAAACTGCTTGTTGGGGGTGAGTAGATTCTTTCAGGTGGTGTTTTAGTTATCCACAGCTGTGAATTTCCCTTCATTTAGCAATGAATATCGGGCAATGATGGGAAAATCCCTCCTTTGCTTCAAAACATGACTCCCTCAAATCAATTTTACACACTCGTTTCCAATGCAGTAGCAGCTCAAGCTTCTTTTAGCAAAATCAAATAGATTTTATAATATTACTTGTATTTCACCTTTCCATTAGGGAAGGATGGAAATACAGAGAAATACAGAGGTGAGGTAATTGCAGGTATTTAAATAGCTGAACCAAACTGGAAGTTTTTAAGAACAGACCAAAACTGTCACATATAAGTACAATCCTTACCAAGATGTATCTCAGGATCTTTAACTCTCAGGACCTTAAAGGTTCTTGCTGACATTACAAGGCTGGCCTGCTGCTCACCTCACTGTAGTAAGACCTGACATAATTGCTCACACTGTACTCCTTGCTTTGTCTTTCAAGAGCAATTCCTTTTTATTGCTCTGCACTTGGGTCCTTGAGACCCCTTTGTGCTGTTACCCACGGTACCAGTGAGGGGTGCTCGGGCCCAGTGCTCCCCTCCAGGGTAAGGAAGTGAAGCTTTTGAGCCTGAGTGGCCCTGCTTCTTCTGCCTTTGACTTTTCCAGAGCTTTTACAATTCTTCCTATATCCTGGAAGCCATCTGGGAATAAAGGTGTGCCTGCTGAGGTGTCCCTATGTCCCCAGAGGTAAGGACAGGATGGCATCAAAGGACAGTCCCAGCTGGTATCACCTGAGGTGTCCCTTTCCCTAAAGCAGAAAGAAAACTATCCATCAAACACAGGTGTGGACCATGCACCACAAACCTGGAAGAAAGGAGGGATCAGTCCTCTATGTCAGAAACAAATAAATTGCAGAGCTTGATGCAATTCAGATACCTAAGCTGACCTTGATGATTAAACCCCAGTTTAAGCACTGCAGTGGTCAGCACAGTGCTCAGATTTTTAATTTATTATTTGAAATTAAGTATCTTTATGGCTAATCCTTCATTTAGGAAAAAAGAATAGGTGTTATTCAATGATATGACTCACCTGAAAAACAATACTTTAAGTGTTTGCATTTCTATGTGAAATTTCAGAGGCTGAAGAAATTACTTCATGCATTTTGAGTGTTACTATTGTCCTCAATTTTGAGTTTTTCTTTTTATAATAACAGCCATCTACTGCTATTACTGTAGCTTCTTGTCCAGATCTCCCTTTGGAGACTTTCTGACTACTTAACACCATTTTTCAATTTCTCTACTTATGCATATACATCTTCAGTCCAGATATGAGAATTTGCTAATGGACTGCAACTTTTTTTCCAAGATTCCCATGTGTAGAATTTTACAGAGACTGATCCAAAATCTAAACTCTGCTTGCCAATGCTTTGTGCTAGGAATATGCATGTGATAACGAACCCCAGAATTATGCTACCATTTTGAAGTATAAATTTAATTTGAGTACAAAAGAGAGCAAAAAGTGTCAGATGGTATATTTACAATAACATTAAGGTGAACACGTTGTCAAATGGACAGAAAAAAAAACCTGGTGTGCATGAAAATGTGGCTCCCTCCTGCACTGTGTACATTTTTAGCTGCAGATTGAAGAATAAAAGGCACTGGTTAGAAAATAGAAAACATATAGGCAGGCACAGCTATCTCCTGTTCCTGAGGTCACACCACTTTTGCATTTTACCTACAACAAAGCAGATAATGCATCCATTTGGCTTTTTTCATTCATTGAAATAACTCTGTGACACTCTCTAGTGGAAGGCAGACATACACCACCTCAGCCACGCTGCCAGCACGGAGCAGTCACGGGGAAGCGACGCCACGAGAAGGGAAACTGGCTGAAACGGAGCTTGGGCACTGTTGCATGTGTTTTGCTGCACTCTTATTTTTTAACACCACAACCAAAACACTTACAGACAGGTCCCTTCTGTTTGAAGCCCAGAGGATAACGTGGTACTGAAGCATAAATAAAGAGTGCCACTAGCAAGGAGTAACTGGCAGCAGACAAAGCCCAAGCCAGCAAACTGTCACGATTGCTCTAGAGGGTTTATAAGCTTTATCAAATCTGTGCTAGCTAATTCACTTGCAGAAGTGTACTGATAACACTGCTTCTTTTTTTTCCCCTTGCTTTTATTATGAACAAAAAGATAGACAGGTCCTAAGGACAGATCCTTTTCACAGCTCTGCTCTCTTCTGCCAGCACATGCCCTTCCATTCACAGATTACCAGGTTTAACTGGGGATGTCTTTGAGCCAGAAACATTTATTGCAATAAAACCCAATATATTTCCAAAAAAGAAAAGCTTCCCCCTCCTTTCTAACACTTACATTGTGGTTGGAAGCAACATTTAAGGAAAAAAAAATTCAGATCCAATCTGGTGTTCCTTGTCTCAGTGAATTTGCAAGTGGCTGTTTTTTACCACTCCCAATAAACATACTGAAGTTAACATTTCTGTGCTTGGACAGAGGAATTAATATACATATATACAGACACACACACACATCTATTTCTGGGTGGAGCACTTGGCTGCTTTCCCTGCTTCTCCCCCACTCCAAAGTTTAGATGCAATTTTTTGCATATTGTTAAACCAATGCTAGTTTATCAGCAGCTATTGTTAAACAACAACTGCTATTAATCTAAATGACATAAATTAATACCACCTGCTGTAAATGCAGAGGAAGTTTGGCTTATACTTTTTAGTGCAGCTTTTGAAGTATCCAGGACAGTATGAAGAGAGAATCATGGATCTCTGTCATTTTCTCCCCCTCCATACATGTGGCTGCTTGAAGTGATGCCTCTGGTGTGGAGAGGTTTGCAGAAGAGCTGCTCAGCTTTGAGCTCTTTGCTCTGTCATTCTCCTCCATGGCTGGTCCATCATTTCTGAAGGCTTCCTCAAACCCTTCTGGAGATCCTCCCAAGGAGCTCCATGCACAGCAGCCTGTGGGAAGCTGACAAAACACTGGAAAATTCTGCCAAATAATAAACAAACCAACCCCATGGTTTTTTTCCAAACATGTTTCCATGAATAACTGAGAAGGCACACTTGCTAATTTACTGCATGTTTGTCTTTATGGAGTATTTTAAAAATAAAATATTTCACCCCCTCCTGCCTCCTCTTAATTTGTCCTGTCATTCAATTTCTGTAACTAATTTGAGGAGAATTCTCTAATGTTTCATCACACTGCCAAAGAGTAGTTTTTGCCTGAATGCAATGCAGAACTATTTTAATTACAGGGAACATCAAAAATTACTCCATAACATGGGATTATTCCTTGTGCTAATTTCTACAAGCCCAAAGTGTAGACGTGACTGAATTCAGATTCCTGTTTCACACAAACACAAAGGGAGAAATTCTGCCTGGGCTCTGTTCAACACAGACATTCATAAAGTATCTCCATGTTAAGTTTTAAATGACATTTGTGTCAGTATCTTTTCTGAGGAAAGTTCACTGAACAACAGTTTTGAGGTCCAACTACCATAAAATATGAACAGAGTCTTCACAGAGCACAACTTTGTGCATCTGGCTGGGTCAGTTGATTTCTGGACTGAAGTGAGTGGAGAAAAAGATCCTCTTGAAGATGCTGCAGAAAAGGATCCTCTTGCAGGTTCTGGCAGTTATTTTCCACAGGAGCTCCTTCCTCTAATGGCTACAGGTGGTGCTGGGAGAGACCAGGAGCCTGTTCATTCATGAGAGTCGGTATCTACAACAAAAACAGCTTCTTATAATAAATAAATAAGGAAGGAAGGAAGCAAATTGAATAAATAAATAAATAAATAAATAAATAAAATTTTTAAAAAAAGCTTTTCTGTGTAAAAGTGTTGCCAGTTTACAAATTGGAATCACAAGGATTACCAGGAAGCTCCTGTCAGTGATTTAAGTCTTGTGATATTGCACCTGGGGAAATAAAAGGACACCAAGATCTGCCTCCTGCCTTTGGAAGACACAAAATCAGTGCAGTGATGTGGAGGCAAAGATGCTGTCACAGGGTCATCACATCAGCAGGAGAACTAAGCTTTGTCACTTTAAAAATTCAAACCTTAAGACATTTTCAAGTTACTTATTTCAGGTGCACATGTAAGGAGAAATTAGGGCATTACCTTCACTTTGAGTTTTCTTCTCCATCTCTCTAAAACATTTAATATTTTCAGGAGATATGAAGGCTTTCCAGAGACAATATGCTAGCTGTAGCATACCATGTCTACTATGGAAATTCCAGAAAATAAGACCAAATGTGCTAATTTATAGTTAAAAGGTGAAATTCTGAATACTCTATTTTTCTAACAAGAAACAACTGAAAACAGGGTTCAAAAAGTCTGATATTCTGCATGACCAAACACACAAATTGTATTCACTTACACCTTACCCCCTAATTATTTTACTTCCAAGAAAAATATCTCTAATTTTCACTGCTGTAAAGTCATCAGGATTTAAGTGCTGTAAGCAATATAATAAAACTTATACAGTATTTTTCACACTATAATATCTCATGATTTTTTACACACAATGAAATATCAAATCACAAAACATTAATGAAAAACTACTAGAAGAGATAGTTTAACATTTTCATTGCTGAAATTTAGAATTTCTAATAACTGAAGATGACAAGATGCAGAATTGAAAAGAAGAATAATAGAAGACTAAAATTAGAGGCTTTAAAACTGTGCTGTAGTCAGTTATTCTAACACATAGACTGTGATCTTAAGCAACTGCTCAACAAACCTTGACAAAGGAACAACTTGGTTACTCTGACACAGTGAGAGAGGGAAATACCCAAAAAAATAGTTACACTGCCCAAAATTTGGTTCAGTCTCTCTTTGGTCCAGAGCAGCATTACATGAAGCAAGATAAATAGTTAAAAAAAAGGCTGCCTGTTGTTTTAAACCCCAATAATTATTTTAAAAGATAGAAAATAACCAGAAATATGAGTTTCAAAACCTAGTCTTACATTCCTGGAGCGAGCATTTTTCATATGACAGCAAAAATTAGTTCTATAATTTACCTCTAATTCTGAATTTTAGAAATTTGATGAACATCAAGACAGTTATGAAAAAGGAAAAATGTAGAACTAAATAACTGTTCAGATATCCACTCATTGTGGTCTCACCTAGAAGAAGAAATTCTTATTCTCATGTTTACAGCTCAGTGCACAAGACCAGAAATACCTGCAGTAACCAAAGATGTATGATTGCAAAAGAAACAATTCTCACAGGAATGTGGCTCATACTAAGACAGAGACCTGTAAAAGCTCTAAACCTGACTGCAGAGGAGCTTACAGATATAAGGTATCTTGGCATCTTTAACATAAATCTAAGGAATTCCACCGCTATTTGTAAAGAAATTAAAATTAGGCCAAAAGATTTAAGCAGTTGAGGTGATCTCCATACAGAGAAAGAAGGGGCTGGCAGCAGGAGAGAATGTGTGCACGTGCCTCCAAGTGTTACAGATCCAAGAGAGTTCAAGGAAAATCCAGCCAGGCTAAGCAGAGGGAGTGTCACCAGAGATTTCTGCTTTGAGCAAAGTGCAGTGGTGAGTCTGAACTCCTAAGTGAAACCTGTCAGGCACAGCATTTGTATTGAGATAAATCTTGAAGGGAGAGCATAATTTACTTCTCAGATAATTTAGGAAATAATTCTTTTATAGACACCCACCCAAAATAGACAACCATGAGAGGAAAAAGCATCCCCCACCCTTCTCCCACAAACAATAACTCTGTACACAGGGAAATACACCCACACATGGCACACAAAAAAATCCCTACACCTCCTTCTCACATGCATTTCTACTCTGTTCAAAGCTACACTGTTCAAATGAAGAGTATTTCCTATAAATCCATGTTTAATAAAGAGGATTTAATGTGAATCTTTCTCAGTTAAGAACCAAAAATACTCAGCGTTATGGGCCATCTGGGAATGCTTCCCAAATCCAAATTTAGGGTCCAGTAACAAGTCCTACATACAGCCTTTGTGTGTGAACACTTACTCTTCCTGTGTTGAATTTCCCTGAACTGGAGCCAATATGACTCTGCACATGAAGGGAGCTGTGTGGGGGATCAGAAACCTAGCACAGCCAAATGCCAGAGATGGAGGGACACAACAGCTCCACTCCCTTTCTCTGTGGAGACACTTCATCCACTCTCATGGATGCTGTTCCAAACCTATTGGGGGCAGGGGGAGGGCAGGTGTGTTAAGAGATTTCTTTAAAAAACATCAAAGCTGAAACCCTTATGGTTTGAGGATTTGTTGAAAAACAAAATTTGGCCACTCAAGGGCTCTTAAAAAGATAAAAAGCAATCAGTGTAGCATTTGCTTCCCATCCCAGTGCTGTATCAACTGTCAAACACTCCTGGAAATAAAAGTAGGAAATATTTCATTTTTCTGTTTGCACAGGAGCAAAACATCTTTGCATGGACTTAAAAATTTTTGACAAAAATCACAAGGAATAATGCAGGAGTAACTTAATTACAGAAGTTATACAGAACAGTTTTAGGGAGCACCAAACTAAACTCTTGAAAAACTGAGACCTAAGCAATTTTTTTCAAATTCCTGAAGAAGTTGTTCTGAATTGTGAACATATGAAGTTTTTTCTCTCTTCAGTGCAAGCCCCAAGTGTGTTTAATGGTTTTGGTAAATATGATTGAAAGAAAACCATGCCTGAGGGAAAAGATACTTTCCTGGATATGTATAAGGGCTGAAGCAGCTTGGTCAATGAGTGACCATAGTATATGAATCTAAAACTAATCTCAAAGAGCCTGAGGCCACCCAAAGCTAACCTAGTCAAGTAGTTATTTTTTCATTTGCTCTGAGCTAAATAAACTGTCTGTAAAAGACTCCCTGTACACCTCACAGCAAGTGTTTTGTTTTCCTCACATTAAAAAAGTTTTAAACAAGATGTTGTATTGTGTGCATAAGAGCAAATTAAAAATAATTACATAAAAGGACAAGCTGTCTCTTAGTTGTTACTAAAATGAGATACTTCTAAAAATGACTCATAAAAAAATTTGGCATGAGACATCAGCACTTAGATCTATCCCACATCATCTCAGATCCACCCTGAGAACATCTGGGGAGACTGACCTGTCAGCTTGTGGCTTGTGATTCCCCACATGGAACCCATCACTCCCTGGCTGCTGACCTTGGTCCTCATGTCTCAAACAAGGGAGATGGGTGAGGGACTGCTGCCCTCTCCTCTCACCAGTGCAGACATCCTCTCTTTGGAACTGCATCATGCTGCTTCAAAATAACAACTAATCTTTACAAAAAGAGAATTTTTGTAAAAATTAACCTTTATATCTTGAAACCTTAAGCAATGTACAGAACTATTTTTTTTTTTTTTGAGTAAAATATGGTAATGAATTTCGCAATAAAGCTGCACGAGGCAGAACAACTGCTCTGCAAACAAGGGCGAGGGATGGGGTGAGAAAATCACTGAAAAATACAAAGTCCCCTGAGCACCACGGGATGTGCAATTTCCATTGTGCTTCGAGACATACTTGTGTGGCCTTGTTGCTTCTATTGATCACATAGGTCTTTCCTAATAGAGTTACAAGGCATTTTCAGTTGCAGGCTTGGAAACCTGTGGGAAATGGGATCCAATCATCTGGCTGCTATGTTCCTGTAAGGCCAGCTCTGTCTTGCTGCTACTGCTCTGTTGGGCTTTAAACACAACACCAGCACATCTAGGGCTGTGAAGCAGAGAGCAGGGATTGTGCCAGCACGGGTTATGAATTTCTGTGAAGCAAGAACCAAGTCTTTGTAGTCATTTACAAAGTTCAGTTAACTGTTATTTTTCTTCTTTTTTCCCCCTTTTTTTCTTCTTTTTTGTTTTTTTTAATTTTTGGTTATGAAACAGCGTGTCTGATTTCCAATGGGGATGAACATGTAGGAAGTGGGATCATTAGGAGGTATTTTATGCCCTTTCTGCACCCCAAAAGGCATATTAATGAATGAACAAAGAGCACTTTTTAATGTTATGCTGAGGCAGAAGATATTGGAAATACTCAAATCTCAGTGAAAATAAATGTTACTTTAAACAGGAAACCCAAGGCACAGGGAGTCTCATTTAAAAAAAAAAAATCTGTATTTTGGGCTCTTGCATCAAAATAAAGACAAGACATTTGTGTTTCACTTATCAAATCTTCAAAAATATTTAGAAGGGGAAACCTTTTCATTTGAAAATTTTCTACTGAAAACATTTCACAAACCAATCCAATCTACTACACCAATTCACAAACTACTCCAATCTATGACTTATAAACTGAAGCCTGTAATAAAATACAATACTCTTTTCTTGTGTAATATTAGTAATGGCAATTGAAGATGTTGAACTATTAAAAAAAAAGAAAAAGGCTAGGTAAAATTCAAGGCAAAATCTAGCCAGCCAAGCTATGGAAAAATTTCAGCTTATATTGACATGACATAAAATTTATGAAGACAGCACCTTTCAGAATCAGGCCCATGGCTGCTCTCCCCAAGCCTTTCACAAGAATGACTCCTGGAGGGCCAGGGGAGTCAGCTCAGGACCCCCACAAGAGACAAGTGTCAGTATGTCACAAATGTGGGAGAGGGCAAAGGGACTCTGTTACATGCACAGTTAGCTTTATAGACTGCCTGATATTGAAAAAAAAACCAACAACAATAACAGCAAAACCCAAGATGTTTTCTGGCAGGATTTCTCTGCTCAAGAGCAACACTTCAGTGGCCACAAAATCATAACAAGGACAGGCTCATGACTGAAGAGCAGTAAAGTGGATCTGTTCTGTACCCACCTGCAATGGGCACCTCTCACCACATCAGCATGACAGTTTTGAGACCAGTTTTACCCTGAAAAGCTAAAACTCTTCCATGTTTGAGTTCATAGTCAAAATTTCTATACCATTACAGTTTGGACATAAATATTGTATGATGGTCTGGAGGCCCTTTCCAGGAATCAACAAAATGCAGGCAAATTTATATGTCAAGAAGCTGAAAAGTGCTCTTGGTTGCACCACTGTTACTAAATGATTACACTGGCTTTGGAGAGGTTCACCAAGATGAGAGGAAACAGGAGTTCTGTGCTATGCATGCCCCTCAGCAAGACCTTATCTAAAGATACTGTAAAGCAAGAGAGTGTGGTGGGGGAAGGAAGCAACACTCCAAACTGAAAGGGGATGAAACACAGCACAAAAGCACATAAGAACATTTAACAGCCCAAAAAAGATGATATGGTCCATGAAGACCTGCCCTCATAACCTCAGGAAATACAAATCAATCTGTGTTTCATCATCTGAAACTTGAACTTCGAGCTAGTAGCTCTGTGCTCTTCCCCTGCTTTCTTCAAAAACTCCTCCTTGAGCTGATTTACACTATTTGCTTCTACTGCTGACTTCGGCAGTTTGTTCCAGGCTGTATTTCAACTACCCTTTGTGTAAAACTGTTCTGTCTGAATATATCGGAGTCCCTAAATTCTGGTACACATATTGGAGTGGTTACAGGAGTAATTTTAGTGTGGCTGGCAGCTGGCCTAACTCGTGCTCTGATCTCTCCTCCCCTCCCTCAACTGAACAGTTAATACTTCGCCATCAAAGTCAGGGCTGCTACAAAGAGAGTCTGCTCTCAGGGACAGCGCCTGAACTTGTCACACATGGCAGGACACCATGGCCAGAGCAGCCTTCCTAACCTCTAGGAGGGGACCAAAGCAGTGAAGAGCAAAGAGTAAGCAAATAGAGAGGAGCAGGACTCTATGTCTTACTGTGTTAAAGAATTTGATGCTATTCACAGACCCTTTGTCTGCCTACCACAAACATTTCCACAGGTAATTGTTGGTTAAAGGCAAAACAGAACAAAATATTGATACCAATGAACTATAAAATAAAGCTGAATATAGATGTTTGTGAAAACTGAGGTTTATTCTTTGTTTTTACTACCTTTTGGATGAAAGAAGGTACAAAATTTATTGGGAACTCAACTGCAGCTGTATGTTGGCAATTAAGTGGCTGGAAAGAAATGGGAGAGTGAATAGCAACCTCCAGATCTTGAATAAATTGTCAGTTGATCTTAAACAGGAAGTACAGGATTCTTGGTTTTGACTTCTGAGGATCTGCATTTTCTAAAAGATGATTACATGCAAGAGTATTTTTAAATCCACTTTTGTGCATGAACTAAGGTTAGGAAAGAGGCAGATAATCTATCAAGTGTGCCATAACTTTTAAATGAAGGTGGCATATTTTTCCCAGTCTGAACAACTTTCATCAGGAATATTTTTGGAAATTTAGAAAATCTCTTTGATGTCAAAAAACTGTTCTCACATTCTTTTGAAGCAGACAAAAGGTCAATGTTAATTGCAATATGTTGTAAATCATATAGATTACTTTCAAGAAAATATTTAAGGGAGATATCTTATATGTGACATTTATTCTTCAGTGAGCCAGACATGGATGATGTTTAATTTATAAAGATTTAAAAGGATGGATGTCTCTTGAAAAATACAGAATTTAATGAAACTCTTCTGTTTTGTTACCAATTTACAGATATCATCTCTTCTTATTTATGGAGAGAAGTGTATTAATCATCACATGCAGAGTTGCAAATTCAGCAGAAACATAAATTATCAGTCCTAAACCTCAAATTCTTTCAAAGGATCCGTAAACCTAAAAGTTTTGAATAGCCTAGCTAGAACAAATGGACAAGAAAAGATAATGCATCTTTTGAAACACAAACCTGCAGAGATGTTATGCTCAATTACTCTGACAAAAGATTTGGAAACCAACAATATCCCCTGTGGAATACCACTGCTAAACTGGAATGCTAAATCAAAAGCTCAAAGTTAAGCAAGAATAACATAGCATAAGCCACATTAAATGTGTGTCATCCCTAAAGCTAGAGCACACTTGGATATTTATTAGATAACTATTTCTACCTTTGGGGATGGGGGAAGGCAGGGGGGAAGAGTTCAGATGAGCAAAATATTAGTAAAAGTACCACTCTGGATTTCACAAGGAGGAATTGTGGGGCTGGGAAGGCTGCATCCCCCACTGAAAGTCACCTGGTGACCAGCCATGGAGTTCTAAGCTTGTTTTAGCATCTAAAAAAAGGTTCACAAGACAGTCCTTCTTTACCTTCAGAGACAACAAAAAGCCCTACTAGAACCTGAGGCAAAGAGGAGCTGCTTGGAAGGGTTTTGGAAGAAGGAGCAATAACAGCTGTGGTGCCCAGCAATCACCACTGGGTGCAACCAAGGACTTGCAGCAAGCCTTTGGAAAGAGGTGCTGCAGGAACCTCAGCACTGCCATGCTGCAATGGTGTATGGAAAACAGCTTGTTTCATTGCCAGGGAATGCTTTCAGCCAAGCCACACAAGGAGAGGGGTTCACATGCAATAAAAGCTTCCATCTGCTCAGGAAACGGGGACAGATCCAGAACCCTCAGTGGGATCTGGGCAGGGGCACAGCAGGGAGAGAGGCCCTGCAGGCAGCTGATGCTATCAGCAGTGCTCATCACCCCTGCACTGCTGGGCATGTTTGGGAAGCTGCTGCACTTGGGACACATCTATCCCGACGCTGATGTTCAGTAACGAGGAATGGAATGTGGGCTGTTTCTGAGGGACGGGAATGACGTTGCCAAAAACGCACTAAGAATACAAGTCCAATTTAGGCCAGTCAGTTCTTATTATCTTCACTGACATGGCAAGTCCATAAGTTTGGCTGCACAGAAAAAGAGGGATCATCTTTCTGCACAACAGGCCTGATGTGCAGAGCTGCTGCACACGCAGCTGGGGGAGGAGAGGGTCTGGAGGGCCTCGGAACACAGCAGGTGGGCATTGGGAGTCTCGAGATCCTGTACTAGGACATAAGGGATAGGATTACAGGCAAGTAAAAAAAATCCAGAAAAATTTAGGTGAATTATGGAATCATTTTAGTCTCTCCTGGATGTTACCCCTGAATATCCAATGTCTGTGTCCTAGATAACAGGGGTGCTGCAGAATCAGCTCTGCTACACTCCTTGTTCTCCAGACAGAGAGTCAGCAGGGGATCGTTATTCACGTGGAAAAGGATGAATTTGTTGATTGATGTTAAAAGCTGATAGGGAAGTTGAAAGGACAACAAACAAGAAGAAATACAGAGCACACAACTGTGGTTTTAAAGTTAATGGGTTTTTCCCATCAGGTAATGCTGCATATGAAATAATAACGGTGCTAACTAAAACATTAGTTACTACTTGATGATGACACTTTACATCTTTCTGTAAACCTCTTATTGACACTAGCAGAATCTCCTGTGAATAAGGGAGAATAATGCCCTACATCAATATCTGGCATATGTAATGTGTTTATATAATCCAGTCCTCTTCACGGAATTAATTTGATCTGTCTGGTTTGGAGCATGTACTGCTGGTTACCCGTGATCCCTGTGTGCTTTTATTTCTTGAAGATGCAGCTTGTTCTGTTTTTCTGGCATCTTGGCTGCCTACTGAAAGGGGGTAAGAGCACAGACTTAATGGCAATCTACTGACAATCACTGTTGCCAAACCAGAGCTGTGTTCATGTGGGATGCAAACAACAGCCACTCATCCTTCAATTTCTGAACACCAAATTGACAGGTAGCTCTTAGAGAAGTTTCACTTCTAAATTATTAAGTAAAAGAGAAAGAAAGAGAGAGAGAGAAAAAAAAAAGGCTAAGAAATTAGAGACACTTACTGAATTACTCCAGTGAACAATATTGATTGACAAATCCAGTCCTAAAAATCAGAATTAAAATTACCTGCACTTATTGCATCATTCAGTCACATTGCAGAGTTTGAAAGTCTGGCATGAAAGATGAACAAATGCTGTGAAAGATAAAACCCAAATGCAATTACAATATAAAAAATATTTGCCAGTTATACTTTATACAGTAGTAACACATCCTCACAAGTTTGAAAACTTTGCGTTACCCAGAGGGAGTGAGTAATTGCTTATCTTGAAACTTTTTCAAAAAGTTCTAATGCAAGGGGTTTAGCTATCAATCAAAATCAGATTAAAAGGGTTTATGGCAAATGAATCAAAGCAATACAATTTTATTTTTCTGATGAGATTTATTTACACGGTGAGATTAAAAATGTCTCCGATTTATGCTCCCACTCCAGGAACATGAATTTCCCAGATTTGAAACCTTTAATGCAATAACCTTTACCCTGCTTTGAGATAAGCCTGAGTCAGCATTTATAAAGTAAGGTCCTTCTAGCTGTTTGGTCCAGTATAATAAACCACTTCCTCCCCCTGTGTTAAATGATAATTTCTATTCCTTTAAGGCCCCTTCCCTTTAATCCAGCATTTCCATTCTATTTTCCTCCTCTACCTCCAGATCGAGAGAAATTCCAGGAAACTTTCCCATGATATGCCTCTAAGATAAACAAGAATATATCTCTAGAAGCACTTAGAGGATTAAAAGGCCTCTCTGTAGTAAAATCAGTGGTAGCACTGCCCAGGATTACTCCAGAGACTCAAAAGATCTGCAGCTTTACTCTGCAGCTGGACCATGGGGTGCACCCTTTCAAGGAAGAGTGTGTTACCTCAGGACAAATAGGTGATGCTCATACACACATGGAGGAACAAATGCACAGAGAAGCACATTTTCTTTGCTGGCTTCTGTAATCAAGACCATCTTTGTGGATTTAATTACTGGACACACCAAAATATCAATCCTAAATAGCCATCTCATTTACTGCCTACCTTTCAATTAACTTAATTTTTTCCAGACTTTGACCCAAAAACATTGTCAGTTTTCCCTTAAGAATAGCCATGGAAGTTTTATTTCTTACCAACTTTCAAAGACTCATACTTGTTCCTTCTTTTTATAAAAAGCATTACCAATAAGACACAAAGAGACCAAATACAGCTAGGTTAGAGTACTACAGAAAGGGCTCATGAGATATTTTCTATTCATTTTTAAAACTATACAGTAGCCCATAATTGGGAAGCTGTTGAGCTGTGCTCAGTGTCCTTCCACAAATAAAGTAGGTGTCCAAGACACAGAAAAAGCACCTTATTCTTAAGCACTGTGGCAGTTTCCCTGTGAAAACCTGAGAGGTGGAATTATTATCAGGGCAGTGAAGGGACATGCTCAGTTAGTTAACAAACAAGGCACACTTTCTTCGTTAGGCCATGCCACACATGGATACCTGCTTCCTGCATCTCCATAATCACAGTGACAAGGAGCAGGACTTCTTCTGCTTGCTACGAGGCTTTCTGGATCACTGGAGATGATTTTCAGAGCCTTGCTGCATAGATTCTGCCAATTTGTGTTCAGGTTCTTCTACAGGCTGGAACAAGCAGCTGAACAAGCACCTGGCATAGAAGATGAGTCTGAGTGCCCAGGCTGCACCACACCCATGGCAAAGTGCAAATAATCAATACCCAAATTCCCCATAATTTACCATTGTGCTAAACAAGCAAATCAAGTAACCGATGCAGCTGACCTAATGGTGGCCTGGAAAGAGCTGTGCTTGTTAAAAACTTGTCAAGGGTTTATTCTTTGATCCTTTGCTTAATCTTCTTGCTCATCCCATTTTGTTCCCTCTCATACAAATCAAGTTCTTGTGACATGCAAGAAAAATGGAGCTGCATAAGACAGGTGCTGGATTTCAGCCTCAGGCACCATGCAGCTGCTCAGGTAGGATATGGCTTTTGGCCCCTGTCCTTTTCCCTTGACCCTTTTCATCTAGGGCAGTGGGAATATCAGGGATAACCAGCAGCAGCACTGGCTCTCAGGTGCTGTTTTCCTCTGCACTTCCCTTGTCACGAGCCCTGGGCTTGCCCAGAGCTCATGGGCTGTGCACAAGTGTCACATGTGCCACACATGCCATGCAAATCTGCTGCCCTTGGGAGGGGACAGCACAGCTCCACCTGCTCAGGACTCTGGATCCAAAAATGAACAAAAGACTGGTGTTTCCAGCATATCCTGGATTTGAAAGTGCTGGTGAGCTGTCCTTGGCACACCACACTTTACAGGTATTTCGGGGAGGGCTGTGGATATAACCATGGGTCTGATGAAGGCACAAGCCCTTCTGCAACAGGTGAGGGGAGATAGGGTGTGGCTGTACCTTGAGATCAAAAGAATGTAAATAGCCTAGTTAGCAATATAGGTTGACCACTACAGTCCAAATAATTCAATTTAAAATACTGCAAATCTACTTCTGCAGCATATAATATCATCATGAGTGCGTCTGTTCTAACCCACTGATGACCTCAGGGAGTTTCCAAGAATATTACTTCTATTTTCTGTCCTTTTATCCCTAATGTATACAGGCAGACTTAGCTCTGTCTGCAACAAGAGAAGCCATTATGTCTTAATGAAAAAAAAATGACCACTCCCATTATTTGAATGCCAAATCTCATATATTCAGTTCACCAATATCCCACACCAGCCTTTCAGATCAGTGAAATGACATGGCCTCAGATCTCTAAAATCACCAGGATAGAATCTTTGTCAACTGCAACATGAAACCATAGCAGGGAAAAACACAGCTGACATGCTAAAATATGAAAAACTGCCATTAAATTTAAGGTGTTTCTAAGAAAGAATATTACATTTATTCTTGTGAATAAATTCACAGATTCACTATACATCAGACATTAGGCTTTATTTTTCTGTATAAAATAAATATAGCAGGAGTATAAGATTATGACTTCACTATTATTTTGTAAAACCATTTAATTTAAACAGAGATGCCTATTCACCTGATATCATAAAACTGAAAACAGAACCATCAAATTATTGTACAGCACAAGCACATTTTACATGAAGACAACATAGGTAGACTTTCTTGTGAAACTGCTGGTTTTTATCACTGTTTAATGATTTGTTGCACTATTTATAGGATAAACAATAAATCTAACACAATTCATCATATTAGCCAATAAATCATGAGACAAATCATTAGGCAGAGTGATAAAATCAAGTGTTTTAGAAATAAGTTAATCTATGATGCCAATGCCTAATCTAAATAGTTGCTTAAAAAGCCTATTTACTAATCATTTTTACATAAAGAAAGACTGATGATTATGTAGATTAAATGTGTGCTTATTCCTATAATCACATGTTCTGTGCTGGTCTGCTTAGAAAGGGAAAAAAAAATTAAAAACATCCAGCAGAAGAAAAAGTGACATCATTTTGATTGTATTTGTATATTTATGAAGGGCTTCCTGCACCACTTTTGAGTCTGCCTTCGATTTTGGAGAAGAAATGGTTAATTAAAGCATGCTGCAAGGTTGCTGGACAGATATTATCTTCAGCTCTGAATTCCATAATATCCTAATTAACAATTTCATTAAGATGTGATGGCTGGTTCTAATGCTTCTTCATTCTTCAGCCTGAATATAACCCTGTAGACTTTCTCATTTGTGACAACTGTGTTTATAGCTTCTCTACCCATAGAGCTTCATGGCACTTCGAATTATGCTCAAGAGTATATGGGCATCACGTCACATTTGTGTGCCTGATATCATACATGACTCGCTGCGCTCCAGCCAGGGTCCTTAATGTACATTCTACAGATGGACTACCCTCTGAATGCTTAGCCAGATATTAAGTTAAATCTTTTTGGAGTCAAGCTTGTTTCACATCAGTTATACAAACATATTGGTTCCTTTAAAAGGACAAATGCGCTGAGAATAAGACAGGGAATCTAGGTTGGAAATCCAGGAAAATCATTTTAAATTTCAGTTTAGCCTTTAAATTTGAAAATCTCTTCTTTGGGAATTATTGTTATCTGTGGAGGGGTTTTTTTTCATTTACTTAATCCCAAAGAGAAGTAACTGAGCAATATTTATCAAGAAGTAGGTAAGCAGCACAGTTGGCTTAACGTGAAAGAAACAAACAGCAAGGCAACCTCCTTCCCTCTCACTTTCTATTTTGTATTAAAATGCAACAAACCTGAAAAGATAGTGACAAACCAACATGATATTTTCTAGTTCAGGATTTTTCCTCAAAAAAGAAGAAAAAAAAATGTTAACATTTGCTTGCCACTGCTGTCAATCTATCTATTTATCACATTGGGACTATGTCATACCTACTGTACCTTCTCGATAAGGCTAGTCTTGGGAGCAAGGTATTTTCCTCTATCTGAAAGAATATGTTTGAGCTTTTTAAAAAAGCATCTGTAATTAGGGCTGTGCCCAACTGTTTACTTGTCAGAGGGAGTCAGGTGAACAAACCCCTCCAGCTCACCAAGTACACTGGGGAAGGGAAAGGAAGGGAAGAGGAGGGGCAAGCCTGGCCCTGGGAGAGGGGGGCTGTGTCACAGAGGCTGAAGGGAGCAGAGGGGATAGTGTTGGGTTTGTTGTTTTCTCACTTTTTATCTCAATCCATACAGCATGTTTTGTAAAAATGTCTGAGACTGGAGAAGCGAGAGCAATTTGATGCTTTGTGCAGTATAGGCAGGGATGGTTTGTTTGTATCTTTGTTTGGTTTAAGATGTGCAGACACTCCATACATCTAAAAAATGTAATAACCAGGAGCATGCCAGAATCATATGCCTGCAGTCCCTTGTTATTCTTTTAGAACCTGCTTATCTTTTTCTCCACTTTTCCTGATGACACTTAAGGTCAGATTTTTAAAGGCACTTAGATGCCTCATTTTATTGAAATCAATGGGAGCTAGGTGCTTAAACACCTTTGAAGAACTAGCCCTTTAATGTTTATTAACAATGCCTCAGATGGGGGTACATCCCAGAAAACATAATAATTGCCTTCCTTTATTAACTGTGGTGTGTCAAGATAAGATAGAATCAAGTCCTCAGACTCATCTCCTCTCAATGATTTCCTAAATGAGATCAGTTCCCACTTACATTCTGAATGACCAAGGGTGACTAAATCAGAGCAATGAAGTATGTTTACGTCCTTGAAACTCAAATCATCTTGCAGACACTTCGCCCAGTGTTGCTGATTCACATATTATAAAGTCTTAAAATGTTTGGTTTTTTTTTCTCCAACACCCAGCTGCAACCATTCTAACTTAAAGATAATATCTCCTTTTTCTCTTTAGGTAAAAATGAAACTTTTATTTTCCTTTGGGAGCTCAGACTCTCACATGTGAACAATGGAACTAAAGATAAACCAGACTTAATTCTTTGTATTTTTGTCCTCATAATTTTAGTTTGGTGGTCTCACATATCTGTTGTTGATCAATGCAAGACACAAAGCAGAGAGATCTCAAAGTGAGCCACAAGGAGATATCTCACATCTTAGGATAGGAAAATTTAAAAGTCAGGAACAAAACATGTCTAAGAGAGGCTTTTGGATGACTGGTAAGGAAGAAGCACGGAGGAGAGAGAAAGGGATGGACTCTTTTCCTGACAGACATCCAGTGTCAATGGACAACTTCTTCAACCACTAGAATGAGCTTTGAATGAAGCCCTGAGCTGAACCTCCTAAGGCTCAAGCTAGGACATTCCAGAATTTTCCCCTTGCTCCTCTAAAGGCAGATTTCCACCAGCAAGTATTTCTACCTCCTGCTTAGCTGTGGGCACCCCTGGGGACTGTATTCCTGGTGAGAACCTTCCTCCACTTCTGTATCCTACAGGCACAGCGGTCACATATCACCTCTAGAAACCTCTCCTGAGGGTTATGTACCTTGTGTACCAACTAAGAGGTGCCCAAGCTTTCATGAGGCAGTCACACCTACACCTTTAAAGTCATTCAAATCTATTTTTGGTGCTCTGATTCTCTTTTCACTGCTGTGTCTGTATTTTACTCTTCCTGTTTAATCTCCCCACAGTGGGAGACCCTCCCAACTTCTCACACTATTTCCCTCTCATCACCAAAACAACAACAACGAAAAAACCAAACTAACACACAGACACATTTTGGGAATCTTTTCCGATTGTTTTTCACCTAATTTTCTTTTCTCTTTGTCGATCATCAGGTGATTTCTTGGAAGTCTTAGCCTGCACCTGAGATACCTGAAAGATATTTTTTTAAATCTGTCTAGAACTGCTAGAGATTATTTTTAATCTGTCCAGAACTGCTAGGGAGAAGACTGGTTTTATGTTGTGTTTCTGCAGAAGCAGGGGACTCCTGGCCATGCCACCTCTCCAGGGTAACTGCTTCTAAAGCCTGCTAAATCAATTTTAACACTCTGCTGTTTAATAACAGCATAAAGCACAGCCCTTGCATGGATTTAATTAGAGCCATGCAATCGACACCGGGTGAACAGAACAGTGCTGCATTGAAAGAAAGCCACCCATTATCTCAATAATTTCAAGACTGACTGGACAGGCACTTCTTCAAAATTAAATTTTTGAGGTATTATGATCAGTAAAACTACCCCAACAGTCATTCACAGATAA